AAGTGTAGCTTAGATGTGTCACGAGGGTAAATTTTGAAAAGAAAAGGAGCAACGGAATGGCTTACACTAGTCAAAAAGAAAAAAAAAATTGAAATGGTATCGAGACACTAAACATCTTTTTAGCCAATCTGAGAGCATTGCATCTGAAAATGGCCTAACTTTTTCTTGGTTAGCTACAGTTTTTGCTGTACAGAAATTCCTCATTTTTGGGGAAAAAAAAGCATTTTTTTCATTTGTTTTCTGTATATATGATATTGACCGATGGCAATATTTCTTGAAATAAAAACGTAGAAACTTCTCAATTCGTATTTAAACCAACAAATATTGGTTTGCTTATTGAAAAATACTATTTTTTACAATAACAATCAGACCCTAAATCTTCAAAAATAACACGATTAAATATACCAAGACTAACAAATATTTTTCATTTAATAAAGTAACAGCAGAAATAAAAGCTTCGTGAACATAAGAACTATGGTCAAATTTTTCTCTTTCTTGATTGTCTGTCATATTCAGTGTTATTTAAGACATTTTGATACTCCAGCAGTATCATGTACAATGGAATAGGTGCATTTAATTGGGATGTCTTTAGTTGGAGTTTCTTTCCAAACCTCAATGTGCTTGGTTTCCTTCCATAGTGAAGGGATAAAAGTGATGGGATAAATTTATGAATATCAAACAGGAGATTTTAGGGATTCATTTTTTTTGGTTGTCACCTTAATTACCAGGTCTACTAAAAGTGTATTATTGATAAAGTTTATCAGTTAATTTGAATTTTGGCTATAAATTGGAAAACTTCGGTACATCTGTTCTAAAATTTTTGACTCAAAAGCAATTTTTCTTATAACAATAGTTTATTTCAGTTGGCTGAGAAAAATTGCTCGGCCTACCTAAATATTGGTGGGTTTCTATGACCTTTATTAACTAAATTTTGCGTTCAGCCAAGATCGTAAATTGATCTTTTTTCCCCAACAATGAACAATTTTAGTCCAGCAAAAACGGTAGCTTACCATGAAAAACTAAGGTCATTTTCGGAATAAGCAACATCAAATTAGCTAAAAAATTTGTTTTGTTTCTTGGCACCAAAAATCGTGTTGACCAGTGTTATTGCAGTAAAGAAACGGGAACAGAACTGTAACCTATGCAGATCAAATAAAGCCCCGAGAAGATCATGAAGAAGAGGAGAACAAAGAACATTAGACGGATACTTCCGGTAAGGACCTTGCTCATCAACAACGAAATTTGGCCGTATAGAATGAAACAAAATGGTTACGGATGTCCAAGAAAATCTCGAAACGCCTCCGCCGCCGACGACGTTACAATGGAAGACGAATAGCGTGAATACAACATGTGACGAGCAAGACCGAGTTCTCCAAGAAAAAGAAACACATCAGCTGTGTATTGGGAGGGGGGGTAATGAGAGAGAGAGAGAGAGAGAGAGAAGGAAAACAATTACGAAAATCAAACAATGTATAGAAGAAAAGACAAGATCTCCAACGGAGACAATTCTGAGGGAAAATGAAATAAAATGATAATAAAAAAGAAATACATTTTCCCAACAGGCTTTCGATACATGACTGACGAGGCAGATTTTTTCCCCCGCAGTAGGTGCCGTTTCTTTCTGTGGTAGACCAGTTGCCATCCAAGGTTATAGAACCCAGTCTGTCCTGCTATTTACCCATAGCTGGGGGGAAGGAGAAGAAGAGGATTAATACCTTTACCAAGGGTGTCAGCACATAATTAAATGCAGTGGATTCGACTGGAATTTGAACTCGGCTCTCCGATTCCTCCATTATTCCATCGAGTGTTATGTATTAAGTGAATTGTGAATACCACTGAACACTCTTTAACGTATCACAGTAGAAAGAAATTTAGATTAACAGTAAACGTTTTCCGTGGAAATTTCTAGACGTTTTATTTGACTCTGTGGCGTAAATATTCGCATTTTATATGAATGCTCCCGGATAACAGCACAAAATTACGATTATTTTACACCGTGATCTTTTTTCTCTGAAAAAAAAAAACAAAACTTTACTACTTTCAGTTCAGTTTATGTGTAACGCATTATAAAAGAATATTTCACTTTGTACAGAGGCTTTCACTTAACAAAACAATTGTATGGAAATTGGTTGAACAAGGAACACACCCAGAAGTACACGTAAATTGTTAATTGACGCTGTTGGAATATGTTATATGACGGTAAAATAAAGAACATATTAATAGTAGTAAGAAGTATTCATGTCAATATCAACTATAAACAATAGTATCCATAGAATTATCAACATTATTATTCATATTACTATCAACAGTAGTGCTCATAGTATTATTAAAAGTAGTAGACATATTTGACTCATGTTCTTATAGTATTCATATCCAAACTTGGTCAACTCTTCAGCAACTATTACATGCTACACTATTTACATTATTTGGACTATTGTCCTCATCTTTGTTACTATATTTATCGCAACGTTTCGGCCGTTCTACGCTCCGGCCTCCTTCAGGTGGTTGGAATGTCGAACTGAACCCTTTATTTCGCTCACTGGGGTAGACTGTTCTAGTTCCACATGCCATGTCTAATGGATGTCAGTTATCAGTTATCTCCTGTTAATTCCCCTCTCCAAGTTCTCCACTGCCTTAACCGGGTATTGAACTTACACTCTTTGGGTCCTGTCACTGGATCTAACAAACGCCTTTATCCACTGTGACAGATACTGAAGTAAGGATTAAACATCAACTGCAAGAAGACAGAATGCATGATTGTTAACAAAAGGATGAGACCAAAAGTACGAATTGCAAATCGGAGATACCAAAATCAAACATGAACGAAAATTTAAATACCTTGGAAGTGACGGAAAGTGTGACACTGAAATCCAAAGACGCATTGGGATAGCCAAAGATGACTTCCAAAAGCAGAGCAGAATATTAAAAAACAGAAAATATTCGTTAGAAAGGAAGAAAAGAGTACTGAATTGTTACGTGATATCTATCCACCTGTATGGCAGGAAATGTTGGACAATCTCCTCAAAGATCATCAACTTGAAATAACATAAATGTGGTTCTACAAAAGGATGCTGAGGTTACCATGGACAAAAAATGAAACTTATACTTAACATCAGGAAGAAACAGTTGAAATTTCTGGGGCACATAATGAGAAAGGAGGGTTGGGAAAATCTGATACTCACAGGACAGATTGCAGACAAGAGGGACAGAGGAAAACTACACATAACATACTTGACAAGCTTGAGTAAGTCGATGACGGAACAAGGTTTAGGGGAAATGACGGAAAGACAAAGTTTATTAAGAGTTACAAAGGGCAGGAAATTGTGGAGAGCTGTCATCGCCTACGTCCTGAAGGGACACGAAACATAGAATAAGAGGAACGAACAACAGGTGTGATTTCGTAATACGATTCTGACGAAATGGTGCAGTAAGTCAATAACGACTGCTTTCTCGTTATCAGGCATCATTCAAGCTCACAGTTCTTCGATTTGAAATGATCTTACATAAAATAATCTAAATAAATAAACGGTAATTTCTTTTTGTCCGTGTGTCTGAAAACCCTTTAACTCTAGCCACGCTTTCTTTACATAGATATATTTTACCTTTTTGGAATCAGGAAGATCCCGGGATTGAAAATCTGCCCTTTATTTGGTGCTTGAATAATGGGATTTGTCTTTGGATGAGAAAGGAACAGTTAAAAATTCAAATTTTAAAATAACTGAAAACAAATAAGTGATTTTAAAATTTTAAAATTTATTTTGAGTTTAATGTAACACAAAAACTTTGAAATTCAATTTAAAATATATCCAAAACTTTGTGAATTGAAGAAATCAATTTTATTTCTTCAAAATGCCAAGGAATCAGACAGAAAGGTTTTGTGACGTGAGGTTTTGAAGTTCCGCAGAGTTTGTGAACTTAAGAACTCAACTCAATTGAAGTTCCACGGAGCTTGTGATTTGAAGAACTCAATTTTCGGCCTGAATTGGAATTTCGGCCCAAGTCGGACATCCGGCCCAAATCGTTTTTTAGGTCCGGAACTGGACTTATAGGCAGAATCAGAGTTAAAGTGAGGTTTTGATGTCCGATGGAGTGAATTGAGAAATTCAAAGTTATTTCTTAAAGTTATCCTTGCTGTTTTCTAAGTTGGATCAGAGGTCCTTTTAGTTTGTGGCCAGAGGCCCAATTAGCCCTCCTCAGCATCTAGCTTAAAAATCCATATAAAAATACTAAAAGTAGAAAAACGGTGTGCGGTTTTGAAACTAGTATGGACATAAATCTAAAAAGATATAGGCAATAATAACAGAAAACAGCGATCCTCTCCCACAAGGGGCTAAATTACTAATTATAATGTGAGGCTATGCCGACTACATAGGTACACATAGTTATGATTAGAGTGATTTTGAACAAAAACTCAACATCTTCAATCAAGTATTCGTAGAAATTCAAGATAAACCTTCCCAAAAACAGAAAACAATGGAACTCAGCTTTCGTCCTGCATTGGAATTTCGTCCCAAATCGGTCTTTTGACCGCAACTAGACTTATAATCTCAATCAGTATTGAGTAAGGTTTTGATGTCTGGTGGAGTGAATTGAGAAATCCAAAGTTATTCCTTTAAAGTTATCCTTGTTGTTTTCTAAGTTGGATCAGAGGTCCCTTTAGTTTGAGGCCAGAGGCCCAATTAGCCCTCCGAAGAAGCTTGCTTAAAAGTCCCAACGGAGTGCGGCTTTTAAGGTAGTTTACAATAAAAGGCGGTGGGAGAATAGGAACGCTGAAAATACAAAGACAAAAAGGAAAAAAATAAATAGGAAGGCAAAAAGAATTAGGACAACAAATATATGACATAATTATAGCACTCTCGTTATCCAGCTGTTTCCAACTGAAACATAATTTAGCCTAATGATTATGGCGTAAACCTGAGCCCCAAACATTCAAAAGAGGATTTAGATATTAGCTTATTATTGATTATTCATTTTGTCATGTTTATTTTTATATATAAAAGATGATCAGAGACTGACTCGAGGACTTAGGCAAGTTACTCCACAAGTCCCTTGTTTTTATTATCTATGTATTTGTCTATGCTTATTCAATTTCTTTCTTTCTTTCTTTCTTTCTTTCTTTCTTTCTTTCTTTCTTAGCCTTTTCATATCTTTGCATTTGTCTATGCTTATGCAATACTAGCAGCATGGCCCGGCGTTGCCCGTGCTTGATTCAAAAATCGTACGACTCATACAGCAATCGCTATCACTTGACTTAAAATAGTTTTAACCTTCCTTGCCTTAAAAGGAGTGCCCTTTGCCGTGCTGATGTTGCTACATGTCTTACTTCTTGCCATCTCACACTGCGGATTTTTTCTAAGCTCTATAATAAACATTAAATCTGTTACGAAAAACGAACTAAACAAAATGAACACAAAATGATCAGCTTTAAAAAAGGACTCGTAACTGGAAAAACTGAATAAAAAAAGAATGTTAACAACAAATACTTTTTCACACCCAGCCCAGTTCTGCAACGTTGAGTTTAAGCAAGCGAATGAGCCATGCAGACTTAAATTTTTTCCACTTGTGACGAATGCAGCTATCGATTTTTTTGCATGCTAGCATGCTAGTTAACATTCGTGGCAGCCAGCTATAGGCTCTCACTGGCCAGTAGAAAATGGCCGCAAAGTACATGAAAACTGCCGTAGAAGCATGAAAAAAATTGATTATTTCCACTATCGATGGGTGTTGAGAAATGCAAGGTCGGTCTTGGCCTTCCCGCTAACTTGGAGCATGTGCATGTAAATTTAGGTCCAAATCCTTCGAAAATTGCAGCCGTGCATTCGCTAAACACACACACACACACACACACACACACACACACACACACACACACACACACACACACACACACACACACATCCTGCCTTTTATAGATAGAGATCTAACTATTTTTATCTATCTATCTATCTATCTATCTATCTATCTATCTATCTATCTATCTATATTTAGAGAGAGAGAGAGAGAGAGAGAGAGAGAGAGAGAGAGAGAGAGAGAGAGAGATGAGCAGAATTGAATGTATATATACAGGGTGCGATGGATAAATTATCTTCTAAATTACGTAAACATGAAAACAACAGTGACTTCTAAGAAAAATTGCACAAAAATAACTTCAAATACGAAACAGAAAATTTATGCAATAAAATCGTCATTGGATTCCGTTACGGACCCCAGACGACTTCAGAATCCCCTGCAACCTTTCTGGACGGTCTCCTTGTTTAAGTTGATGAATGCTGCAATAATACTTGCCTTCAGTTCATCTTTGGTGTCAGAAGGAGTTTTCAACCGCGCACCACACTTAATAATTAAGGGGATTGCAGTCTGGGGAGTTAGGTGGCCAGATGTAAGGGGCATGTGGTCGCAGAAATTGTCTGACAGCCATAACTTGCTTCTCCTGCTTGTGTGGCATGGGGCAGAGTCCTGTTGCTAGACCTAGGATCTTCCAGCAGCTACCCTCTTGACCCAGAACAGCACTAAAGTACTTGATGTCGGTCTTTGTGTTGAGTCTCAGGTCCTATGGGAATGAATGGAGAAATAACGTCGCTTTCATTAGTGATCACTCCAAACACTATGATGCTGACTGGATATATCATCCAACTCGCCAAATCTTCTGCACTGTCCTCAGATTGACACCCAAACACTATGAAATGGCAGAGTGAATTGCGTCATGGTGCCCAACTGACCTTACTGCGCAGTCGACAAAATGAAAAACAAACAACACGCATGCTCTAAATTAAAAATATAAATGGCAACAATTTACTCATCTTTACTTTATATATATATATATATATATATATATATATATATATATATATATATAAAGAAAAGAACTAGAAACAGTCGTGTTTTATCAATACTGTTTCATACCATTTTCCTCTTTAGCCAGATTACCTTGAGATCCTTTGAGGTGAAACCTAGGTAGGTTGTTCCTGGCTTTTTAGGACATATATATATATATATATATATATATATATATATATATATATATATATGTATGTATGTATGTATGTGTGTGTGTGTGTGTGTGTTAGTGATTATGCATAATATCTACGTTATGTATATTCCAGTGGAACTCCTTTCCTCCTACTTATTTCCCTGATAGTTATAGTCTTCAAATATTTAAATGTAATGTCAATCGACATCTTCTGATGCCTTCGTCCTCATCCCCGTCCTTCACTTTTTCTTTTCCTCGAATACACCTTTTACTCCTGCTCTTAATTTCTGTATCCCCATGCGTGCAAATGGTAGCCACGCCTTGCTTGGGGTAATATGCTTAAAAGGATCTATCTATCTATCTATCTATCTATCTATCTATCTATCTATCTATCCTCATTCAATATCTATCTACTTATCTATCCACACACACACACACACACACACACACACACACACACACACACACACACACACACATATATATATATATATATATATATATATATATATATATAAAGAGAGAGAGAGAGAGAGAGAGAGAGAGAGAGAGAGAGAGAGATGTCTAATGAATAGAAAATCGAAACTAGATGTTCGGTCTTCATCAAGAGTTTTGACAAAACATTAACACTGCAGCTACACAGCAAAGAGATTGAGTTTTCTTTTCTTTGTCCCAAGCCTTATGACATTTTAGTTGACATTTTAGATTGGATCGTTACATTATCACTAACGACCCGTAACACATTAGAATTGTAGTGAAGGCACCACATGTAGTGCAGCTATAGAATCAATGGCTGTGGCTAGGGTAAGATACTGCTTTTGAATTCAGAGTTCTTCTTGTCTTAGACTTGTTGCTGTCTCTAGTCAAGAGAGCCTAGATAGTCCAGCTGTTTAACCCGTACGTGGAGGTCATTGGATTTATGATTATTACAAGGGCATTGACTCGAAGTGTACGAAACAGAATCGAGATGGAATTGAACACAGCACGCCTAATTCATTTATCGTTTCATTGCCCGCGCCTCCGATGCTCTGTTTAGGAAATTGATAAATGATACGAAAAAAAAAAAAATAAAAAAATAAGGTCAATAAGTTTGATTCGGTTTTACAAATTTAAAGAAGAAAATAAAAGACTTAGAACAATGGCGTCAGGCCTCGTAGGTGTTTCTTTCTTCGCTAGAACGCACACACACAAAGACCAACAGACACCTACATTCACATAGAGAGATACAAACGCGTAGATAAAGGCAAAACGACACACAGACACATACCAATAGAAAAACACACACACACACACAAACATACACACAAACATACACACAAACGCACACACAGTAAAAGATAAAAACATGCGCAAACGCACTTAAACATTCACAGACAACAGCGCATACATAGACATGTAAGCAATTTAGTCAAGAATTACTTTCTCTTTCATTAGACAGTTCGCAAACTAATTACGCATTTCACAGCCCTGAATGATGACTCAATCAAAGAAAGCAGAATCATGGTTGAAAGGTACGAAACTGTGTCTAGTTTATCATCTTTTCAATTAAAATGTTCGATAGGTAATTACATATTACAGAGTTCTGAATGATGACTCAACATAACAAATATAGAGCCAGGGTTGAAAGGTACGAAACTGTGTCTAGTTTATCATCTTTTCAATTAAAATGTTCGATAGGTAATTACATATTACAGAGTTCTGAATGATGACTCAACATAACAAATGTAAAGTCAGGATTGAACGGTACGAAACTGCGTCTAGTTTATCTCTTTTCATTTAAAATTTTCGAAAAGTAATTACGTATTTCACCGCTATGAACAGTTGATAAGAAGTAAAAAAGTAACCAGTCGATCGATCAACAATTCCGCTGGACTGTAGCCATTGTAACTAGAAGTCATAGTCTTTTTTTTTATAAATAATATTTAAATAAAAAATAACTTACATTGGTTCCAATACATATAACTCACATTGCTATAAATAACCTACACAGGGTTGATAATCTGTAAAAAAACACTCAATCAATAAGTCGATCAATTCCGCTGGTCTTAAACATTGAAATTAAAAGTGAAGACCTTTTTTAATAAATAATATTTAAATAAATATAAATTATATTGGTTTTAATATATATAACTTACATTGCTTTCAATAACTCACAAAGGGTTGATAAGCCGTAAAAATCAATCAATCTATCAATCCTGCTGGACGGTTGGGGACTGCTTGTGAATCCAAATTCTCACAGAAATTCCCACTATGCATGTCCGAATAAATATGACCTTTGCTACGCTTGGTCAGCTATCGTTTGGATCCAAGCGGCTATGGCAACACAAGAGCTGATTGGGCAACATCAAAGGAACTCCTGAGAGCCACCGCCAACAGATCATCCTGGAGGATCTTGACTGTTTCTTCTACCCTCAGGTTCCCGAGACGATTGGAGCAGTCGAGGGACTGATGGTGATGAACATGGCACTTATTTGCTGTTTTGTACTTGTCACTTTGTGAAACGCGACAAAAAGGTATGTTTGCGTGTGACACCGGAATTAAAACGAAGTATTGCGGCCTATATCTGGGCTGGAGCTGCTCGACCATCACTTTCCCGCGTCCAAAAGCGTCTACGCAACCCCGTGGGTGATGAACACACAACACCTTTCCTGCAGATGAAACGTTGTAAGCCTATCGCTGCTCTATCGCTATTTCAATAGAAAATGTTCTGACGAGCAACAGTTCAGACATTTATAGATAAAGCCCGCTATGCCACGTATAAAGGATCGATCCTGACCTGGTATCGCGGCTCCAGTCACTTTCTAACCAACATAGCGTGATTTCCCTCCCCACAAATATTTTCATGTCATTTATTCTAATGACATACTGTTGAACTAGTTTATATGTAATTGTAATGATTTTCTAAGGGTAGCGTAGATATGGCACATGGCCGAAAGTATGGTGCACCAAGTGAGGATCGAACTCACTACTCAATTGTAATTGATCCAGCCAGACAAGCTTGCCACATTGAAGCGCCCAAAATATGGTGATTTGCTAAAGGCAGTTTAGATGTGTCACAAGGCCGAAAGTATGGGGCACCCAGTGAAGATTAAACTCACTACTTGAGACAAGCTTGATAACCATTACACCATACCGGGATGCCCTAGCTTATATGTAACTGTATGTTCTTTTCTCGTAGGTTTTTTTTTTTTTTTAATTACACGCTTAAAAAAAAATTATTTAAGCATTAGTGTTCAGTTGTTCTTTTTTATTTTTGCCAGAATTACTTCGTTTTATTTACGCTAAACGATAAAAGATTACATTTTTTGAAAACGTTGAATTCCAAATATTTTACACCCCCCTCCACCCAAATGATTTCCCGATGCGCTATGTTAAGACGTCCGTTTATTTCATGTTCAGAAAAAAAATTCTCTTTGTATTAGGCATCTAAGCGGAGATCATTCAAAACATTGTTGAGGATTATGATTTGTCAAAGGTGACGTGTTATGACCCAATTAACTTGTAATTGTTTTTGTTTTTTTTTTACCCAGGGTCGATTACTTATGCCAAAATTATTAATTCTAATTATGGAAATAAAATAATTAACAATATTAATTCTCTCTTATTATCAGTTCGCGAATAAAACTGAAGTTAATTGAGTAGATAAAGGTGATCAAATCAAATTATGAACAATTAATGTGAAAAAAATAAGGAAAATTATATCTAGCTTCAACACTTCTGCGTATATATATATATTTCATTGAATACGAAGGACAGGGTGCTTTGATTTAGTTTTTTATACAATTTCTCATATGATCTAATAGTTTTTTTTTTCTTTTCAGATGATAAATTATATAAAAACTGTCCGAATGTTCTTTTAATCCGAGCGCTTTCGGCTATACATTTAGCCATTTTCAAGGATTAAATATTTTAACTGTTAAATAAGAAATAGTTTGTTGCATGTATGTTTTATAAAATGTTTTCATTTTTCAAAAGACGGTCAAGATATTGTGTCCATGTTCGTAGTTGATATTATTAAGTGTTGTTTTTTTTTTTTTTCATTAATTTCCATTATATATATATATATATATTATATATATATA